GGAATCCCAAAACTGGGTAATTATAATCCTTTCTCTTTTGCTCTTTTGAACTTCTCCTCATTGCCACAAGACTCCAACTTAAGTGGATCCAAATTAGTGATTTGCATTGCAAAGTAAATATCTGCTATGAACACCATTTGATCCTATGTTTACTGTTTAAATTTAATTCACATGTTAAGAGATAGACCTGAATATAATTAACCTTGACTTTTTATACCTGTATGTAGAGGGTATTAGCTGTTAAATGGTATAAAAGCTGTTACATTGTATTTTAAAAGCAATCAACTCTTCCTTATTTCTTTTTTCTTGTATGAATTATTAAATAATACCAGCCATTTGTACATGTAATTGTTTATTAAGATGGCTTCAACGGTCTGTTCAGAACTCAATATTAATAATTCACTTCACATATTTTATACACCTTTCCCCTAATAATTTTAGCTTGCTTTCTCTGAATTATGTTTTTATGTCCTATTTGGTCCCTGACTTTCCTATACATATTTAATATATATATAATTGTATACAAACTGATTAACCTTTTAAATAGCTCAACATCTACATGTATTTGACCTTCAAAGTGAGATCAAGTTTTCAAAAACATATCATAGTTACCACACACATTATAAACATCAGATACTGTTGAAGTCCCACAGAAAAACATTCAGTGAAATGATTTCTTTTGAAAAGGAATTAAAAAAATTTTCCAGCTTGCTTTACTACTTGAAACAGACCAATTCATCTGAGTATGTTTGTCACGCAAATGTTTTATTCAGATAAAAGAGGAGAATTTGAAACCTAAAGTCGTCTTCTAAGATCAAAACCCTCTTGTAATTAAAAAAAAAATGAGGTGTTTTACAGAGATTTAAAAGCTGTTGCTTTGTAATCGGTCATAGAATCTATTTTATTATTCAAGAAGAGAGGGGGGAAATTTAAATTACATGATTAAGTTGTAACAGTTTAATTATTTTTCCCTGTAAATATAAATTGTTCGTTTTGCAACACAATGCATTCATTTTACAGGCAGTATGTGTTAACTCTTGAGTCATAACGCAGGTATACTTTTATGAAATATTTCATAGTTCCCTGAAGTTCAAATTAAACAAACCTGATGCATATATTCATAGCCATAATAGTTGAATATTCCTTATTCAATTATACAAAACATCATATAGTACCATATTTTCACAGCAACTCAATGGAAAACAACATTTTATAAAACTATTATATTACCACCATATTTTCACAGCAACTCAATGGAAAACAACATTTAAAATTTATATTACCCCCTAAGACAGAAAATAATAAAACTGAATCAATCATTGACTACATTCTAGCAAACTCGGACAGATGGCTATACTTCTGAAAAAAAAAAAATCACGATCTTGACTCACCAATTCTCATAGTTTTCTCCAATATCAAGAATATCTGCATAAAATTGATTCAACACATCCCCGAGCATAATATTTTTCTTTCCCTGATATCATTAGCCTAATAGCCAGCAATGTTTTCTGTTTTAATTATTACACAACTGTTACAGATGCTTCCTGGATATTCCCACCAAAACACTCTCTTCATCTCATTTAACAAAAACAAAAACAAAAGCCTATACGGCACCCACACTGTTGGCTCCTGTATGGATGGATTTGGAAGAACAAAAGAAATCTAAAAACTGTTAAACCTCTCCGATTATTAAATTACACAAGTTCAAGTGATTTCAATGCTTTATTGGTTATAATATCAAATGAGTCATGAATGGGAAGTCCCAATTTAAAAGCCCATATATTACTACTGCTATCGTGGATTTTGGAAGCTTCCATATTTTGTTGATAGGATTTGTGGCAATTTTAAGTGACACGTCATATTCAATTGTTTGGTTTACATTATGATAACTGTAGCCTATGAATTTGACTGCTTTTGATCAGTTCCTAGGGCTTAATTTACTCATTTCATTCTGTACGTGCTTTTGATGATGAGTACAGATAGGGCGATGCAGATGAAAAACGATTTTCTAACAGTTCCCATAAAAAGAAGAGATCTCTCAAATACAGGATCTGGACATTTGGTTCAAACGTTGAAAACAACTGTGTAAATTTTTGTACCTTTAAGTTAGTATTTTTGTACAATGAATTAATTGCACTGCAGAGCAAGGCTGGCAATTGGGGAAAAAAAATCAAATTCAAAATGTTACACATGAAACGATTTCATTACCTTAATGAGATTAAGTGGTTGGCATCCCATAACAGATTAAACACAAGAAAAACATGGCAAAAAATCAAACCTCAATCTTAATGCAAGCTTGAATATTAAAATATGTGCTGAAGACTTCAGCAATAAATATTTGAAAGTCTTTTTTTGTTTATTTTTTTTTTCATTTGGACCTGAAATTGAACCATAAAGTTTTCAAATATGTTTTAACTTTAGAATTAATTTATAATGCTGCAACAACTTTATAATATAGCACTATGTCTGAATCAGTGACAGGTGGATCGACACCAAATGTTACTCATATGCAGACAAAAGCATGTCTTTGATCCCCTTCATTATATATCAAATTACAAGTCTCCTTTAACATATATTAGCTATACCATGTATACGCCACACACAGAATAAAATATTTCTCCATGTACTAAAACAACATATTTACTAGTAAAGAAACACAATAAACAGTGGTTAATTTTAAAGAAAGTGCATGATCTTACAGTCTCTTTTATAGACAATGAACTAGGAGTATCATGCATGCAAACATGAAAACTCAAATGTACAACAATTAATGCAAATGAAGAAACTTGACACAATATTTCCATATTTATGAAACAAGCAAGGGATTCTGTGTCCTATACAATTAGCACACTATTCAGTGACTGTCAACAATAAGTCAATATTGTCTTGGACTAATATTCAGTGACTGATAACAATCAAAATCAATACCACAACTTCTGGACAACACGCTGCTCAGTACTTGACTAATTAGTTATCAACTCCAATGCCCTATTTTAAGTTAAAACTGTCAAACTGGCAAACAATAGCATTTTGCATATTTTCATTAACAAAGAGCAAGGAAATGTATGGATGGATAAGAACATGTGCACACATTCCTGTATCACAACGCCCCGTACCTAAAGTTTTTTAGTCAACAGTGTACTTTCACTTTCAAGCAACACCTTGTTTGTTAATAAATACAAAACATTAAATTATTATCATTGATTACTTACGACATTTTGCTTATTTTCATCAAGGCTTTTCTTTTTAAAACTATCCAAACATTGCCCACAACCGAAATGTCATGCCCTCCTTAGAACTTTATCAACAAAACAATTTCATCTCCTACATAGAAGAGCGAATCGAAAGGGCAGCAACTCTGATAGATCCTAAGGGAAAATCTCAAAAGTTAATTAATGATAAAGGTTTTCAGTCAAAAGGCGATTTGAAATGGTCACTAGATGAATTTCAGCAAATAAACTACAATTTCAAACAGAATTAGCTAATTTACATATTTTTGAACGTCCACTCCTTACTTTTAAAATCAAAATTTATGAGAGTGCGTTTTTCAGGGAGGTAACTCTTCTAGTCTTCATTTTGAACCATGCCTGATTGACAGAAGAAACAAGAAACGATTGCCTGTTTAATATGTTTAACTGGACCAGATCTTTATCTTCATTTAAGGGAATTTATGGATCCTTAAACATAATATGTCAGCTTAAAAGCAGGTGTTTACTCATTACCCTAACCAACAATAACACCCAATATACCAGACATTTAAACTCCAGCAGAACATTATCTCAATTATCTGCTTTACTTTTTATGAACAGACAACAGTGTTTTTAAATTGCTCAATCCTCTTCATTCACTACTGAAGAAACTAAAGAAAAATAAATAAATAAACTGATAGTGGCAATTATCACTTGTGAACCTGTATGTTCGTTGTATTAAGAAACAGTCTTAAACAATTGAATTTTAAGACATAAACAAGGCTCATATAAATGAAATTATATTTTAATTCCCTCAAATTTTACCATATCCTTCAAAATTGCTACAGTCATTTACACAAATATGTGAAGGAATTAATGGACAACAAATGTCAAAACAAAATATTTAGCAGGCCATTGCCTATTGATATAATATTAATTCATATTTCATTTTTCCATACAGATAATACTGTACAGTGGGTTATTTTAGCAGGGTGCTAATTTTGGCTTATTTTGGTAGCAGTCCGCTAAAATTTTAGTCGCTAAAATATTCAGTGTTCTTCTTATTGTTATTTTGCAAAGAGTTGGAAGCCTGTGTCCGCGAAAATAAATCATGCCAAAATTATAATTGGCATACCTTTAGCCAAGCAAAATGTCAAATTTTACACCCGCCAAGAAAACCCGCTAGCTCATTTAAAATTCACACACACCAACCCCTGGCAAAAATATCTTTCATCACTATTCTGCATAACTTATACATGTATGCACTAGCTGTTTAATTTCTTGATTGCATGATTTGTGGAATTGTCCAACTTTTGCATCATCCAATCCTGAATTACTTTTTGCATCAGCTGATCTGTAAATCTTGATTACAATTTTTGCCTTGTCTAATAAGACACTGGCCCAATATTGTTAGTATGACTTGCTCAACTTGTGTTGGAGTGTTGCCCCATTTATTTTCTCATCTAAAAGTGACATATATGTCTGATCATTTTCCTTGCCTAGCTTATGAACTGCTTTGCTTGTCTGATTTGTGAGTTGCCCAGAATTTTTTGGTCTATTAGTGTTAACTGTGTCTGATTTTTGAATTGCAATGCCTTGCTTGCTTTGTGAATAAATATGCCTTATCTGACTATTGTCTATATCCAGACTTTTGCCTCGTGTGATCTGTGAACTGCCTCAGTATGTTGGGTATTCCAGGGCATCAACGGCAGTTGGAAACATGGGATAATTTGCAAATCGGGCAAAGATATGTGAATTGCTTTTTTTCAGTTTTTACCTTATAACTGATGTAATCTTAATTTTTTTTCTTACCTCTTTATTACTGTTGTGGTCGGTAAACTGAAAGTTGCCATTATCTGTAGCTGATGAGGGGGTGGAGGGGGGCAGGTCATCCTCGGGGGTGGGGATGTCAGTGTGAGGGAGGACTTGGAAGAAACACATAAGGTACATCATAATGGACTTCTTATCGGGAGTCTTTACGTTAACATCTGTGGAATTAAATCAATAACATGTACTGTATAAAGTAGGAATTAATCATATTTATGTTATGTCATATTGAATTTTAAATATAAATATATAGATATTTTTTTCAAATATTATTTTGGTCTTGTTTGATTACTCATCATTATGAATGTTAGCTAGAAAAAAAACATGTAATTATACCAGCCATATAAGTAATTCTGTGCAACAGATATTACAATCTATTACAGCAATGCATCATCATGTTTTTAAGATATTATTGGAAATACATCTATGATAATAAATTATATTTTATAAAAAAATAAAATCTTTTAAAACTCTCTTCTGTGGAGGTATACTTTTAGAAAACCATTCCCTGTTTATTTATGTGACACCTGCTACATTGCAGCAGCTGTCATCTGATGTGAACCAGTTTGTCTAGACTTTCCTTGCCTTGTGGGGAAGTCTTTATCTTATTAAATGAATAATTGATGGTTTCATTAACTTCTTTATTTGTGCACTTTGTCTTGTGTATTGTGATCTATTATGTACTTATTCAGCCTGGTTTGAAATCCATTTCTTTTCTCCTAAGGAGACTAAATTTAAAATTCATACATTTTATTATTTAATGTTAATAAAAAAAAAATCTCTCATATTCATTATTTGACAACTATCCTTTTATTAGTTAACATTATTCTTTCTATTTCATTTCACTTTTAGACTTTGCTTACTTTTGATAAACCTGTCCCGACCCCCACCCAGCCATCTTTACCCCCCTTCCCTGCCTTTCACATTACCTGGCAATTAAATTCCAGCAGATGGTCAAAAGGAAGCAGGAGGATTTTGAATATAAATTATACTTTAAATTATATACAAGTATGAGTGTTAAATTTATTTTATACCCTCAGGTTCTAGCAGTCTATCGATTTTGAGATGATCCTGTGCGATACGAAAGGCATGTTCTAAGTTGGTCTCATTGTCATTCTTCAGCAGATCATCGTACACAAATAGCTGGGGCCTGTAAACAGTAATACAAAAAAAAAAACTCAAAGTACAGTTGAGCTTCCGTATCTCGAACATCAATATCTCGAATATCATGGATATATCGAAGTGAGTTGGAAGTCCCAACCACCTTTCCTCTGTGTATTTTAATTAACCATGGTATCTGAAACCATCTGATATCTCAAACTTTTATTTTGGACCCACTGAGTTCAAGATAATGAGGTTTCACTGTATATATATTATCCATGCAATTGTAATCTTATAATCCCATAATTCTAAAGATTAGAAAAACATTTACCTCTACATTCTATTAACTTTTAAAGTTATTATGATATAAGACAATTCATGCCTTAATTAATACATAGGAAATTTACATGTATATGTAGAATGTATACTTATTGCAGATGCTACATAAGCAATTATAAACCAGCATTTAAACAGATTGCTGATGTTGAAGTAGTACTTAGTAAATTTAAAAAATAATAAAACATTTTAGGGGGGGGGGGGGTGTTGCACCTGAAGTGATGAAGAAGGGCGTTGAAGGCCAGCCCATCCCTCCAGCTGGTCGTGAAGTTATGGATATCAACATTCTGATATCCCTCCGTACACTGACGACACCACGTCAACAAAGTCCTCTCCAGATTTGTCTGTCTCAAGTCGTCCATCACATCCTTCATTACATCTTTAACCTGAAAATGTAAAACAGATGATACATATAATAAACAAGTTTAAGAAAACAATCTGATATTGCCAATCATGTTTTTGATGAACAACATGGATAAAAGCAATGAACACATATGTTTCACATGAAAACTGAAACACTATTCACATGGATTTCATATCAAAAGAACACTCAAGTGAAAGTCAAGTGGTAGTGAAAATCAGATTCACTGGTTGCTGGCTAGCTACGTGACTGCCAGATAGCCTAATTTTGTAGAACATATCTAGAATTCAGAGGCCCTAGCTTTAAATTGTATTACTTTTTGACTTATACACTCACAAGGAATTTATGTGAAACTCATGTGAAACTCTTCTTTTAAGTCATATAAAGCTGCTTTGTACAACAATGATAATAATGATTGCCAGAATGCACTTTTTATGCAGTAGTTACCAAAATAGCTAAAATATGATGACTTTCACCTGAATTTCACACTAATCTCAAGTTTATTCATTTGATAACGGAGATATGAGCCAAACTATAACAAGAGCACTGCAAAGCAGCGCATCTCCATGCAAAAGAGTACATACATACCAATGTAAATTATCACTTGTGTAACTTCCATTGCACACACACTCAATCACCCCCCCCCCCCCCCACACACACAAGCATGTTACTACAAGTATATCCCCTCCAACTTCGTTGTGAAGGGATAAAAAGACCCAAGCTGCCTGCGTATGCTAAAATTTCACTACTAAAACACTAACCTGCCAGTGAAGGATGATGCTCCACACTAGACCTAGCGTTAGTTTCTGGTTCCCGTCCACGATATCATTACTGCTGATGTTGACCAGTTTAATCTAAAGATCATATTTAATTCAGATTATGGTATGCAAAATAAATGTTTAGTTCTGTTAGATAAAACAAGATTTTTTTATGCATTTGTTCCCAAATACAAAATACTGTAAATCACATTTTATTTGCATAATTACACAAGACTCTCTGCGTGCAAAAATTTTATTCCCGCATATATTTTTTTTCATTAAGGATAATATACATATACAACAATAATTAGATTTCTTGAAAATGTTGTCTAACTTATAATTCCCAAATTATATCTTGCAAAAATAAGGGGTCACACAAATCTTTTGGTGATCTACATTACAATCCATATTTTGGTAACAGTTAACTGTACAAGGTCCATGTACCATTAAATCTTTACATATGAATTTTTTACAAAGGAAATAATTAAAAAAGTCATTGCAAACTTTTTCATTGTTCCACATTCTCATGCAATCATTTTTTTTTTACAAAGCAACTAGTGTCACAAGAAGCTGCATGGTGCAATGTCTACAAACTGTAAGATCTATAATCAATAGAAAACTGAGAAGCAAACTTGATCTTTCCCCAAATCTTGATATCAAAGCCACAAATGTCCCGCTCAGCATAAAATGACACAAGTTTCAATAAAATAATTTTCACAGCTGCTGATTTTACTGCATGGAGTCCTCCATTAACGAAACGGTTTCCCGTTTTTATACTATTATTGGCTATATTAAGCCATTACGATTGTGCTAATGATGACTTTGCCTGATAATCCTGAGAAATTCCCAAAATTCTGGCAACATCAATTCTAATTAAAGGGACATTAATGGAGAATGGACATGACTCACGTTGTAATTTCGAGCGAGCACGTCCAAGACTCGATTCACATTGTTGATCTGGTGAACTCGCATGCGACCTTTCTCTTTTCCCTGTCAAAAAAAGACAATACTGGAAGTTATTATCAGGGTCCCTGATTTCTACATTCAGCAAAAATTGAATTACGTTTCTAAGCTTAAGTGTCATTTCTGCAATCAGAATAACTGTTTGTTTTTTTGTTTCTCTTAAACAGTCAAGAGCAGATTTTTTTTGAAATTGATTTTTTGAGTTATATAAAATTGCATAACTTAATTAAGAAATTTTACTTGACATGTAACATTACAGTAAAACTCATTAATAGCCATTAGACATATTTAATATAGGAACACTCAAAAGATAGTAAATATTAAAAGTACAGTAAATCCAAAATTTAATAAAACAATTCATATCATTTTACTATTCCAAGTGCATGGACAAACATGGCTTCCTATTGCATGTATTCTTTAATGAACTTAATGAATATTTTGACAAAAAATTGATTGCAAACACACAAAGTTTATAAATGTACTGCCTCCTAGCACTAGCTATAAACAGCTGTTTAAGTCTTAATTAATTTGACATCTGTTGTTCAATATCATTGATTTTTTTGTGAATCTACTGTGCAGTGTGTGCATTTTATGACGCTTTGCTTTGTTCATTTACAATAACCGTGTGTCCATTTATTGTTCTATTCAAGTGATTTATTAAGATACTGTGAAAATTATTGAATGATTTATATATCTGATTCTTTATATATATATATTTTTTATGTATGCACTTTACTATATGATACCATTAAAGTACAGATGATTTGAAAAAAAAACCTCTCTCCTTATTTTAATTTTCTCCTAATTACATAACTTTCTCAAACTTACTGCAAAGCATAATAATGTTGTTAGCCAAAAGAATTGATCTTATTTCAAAACATCCCCAGTGCACTGAAATTTAGCAAGAAAGGACCTTGACATGTAAAAAAAACTGTTACAGTAAATGTACTAGCTTGTTTAAGTGGTTATCATATAATTAGCGCCTTTCTTGCTGATTCTTGCCCGCAAATTTATGTACATGCTAATATATGATCAAAACTAATATACATCATTGTCAAAACTTGAGTGCACTAATTTATGATTCTGTTATCAGTTGGAGAGGAAGATTGCACTAAATTTTGAGTGCGCATTATGTTCGTTTATGGCATGCGTCGATCAATGAAAGTATTAATAAAGTTATCTAAGCTTCAGTTTTAGCAATATTAAACTTTGAAAATTGTATTCTCAGAAATATGAATTTGACAGCATTCATCATTTAACTTAGGCTATATAGTGTCCTTGACATTTGATATATGCAGTGACCTTGGAGAAACCTACCATAGATTTACCACTAAGGACCTCCAGCAGTGACAATAGAATGGTGCCATCTTTAAGGTCTGTAAACAAATCTGTAACCAAGGAATGACCAGCCTGAAAAAAAATATTAAAAATATTAGGCCAAATAAAAAAAATATGTGTGGTTCCGGTTACCCGACCTTCCCTATTTTATACCCCCGACCCTAAACTTTTTTTTGGCAATTTTCATACTTTTTCCGGAATTTTCCCCAATTTCCATCAATGGCTCCAGTTTAAGTTTTAGTTTCAGCAATGACTGCCTCCTTGCAAAACATAGTGCAAGTGTTTAACAGTGTTAAATCCAAAGCAAGCTAGCATGTAGGTGTCCCCTACCAATATTGACTAGTATATTATCACACCACATCTAAATGCCATTTGCAAAGCAGTGATAGGTATTATTTAGAAACAATTAAGAAAATCATTTAAAAAAAAAAATAATAAAAAATTCCCTACCTACCTGCCCCAATTTTTTTGGAAGTGTAACTGGAACCACAAATATTTTTTTGTTTAGCCTTATTTTGCCTCAAAATTAGTAAGGTGGTAACATATAATTACCCAGACAAGTAGCAAAATAATTGTCTGATGTGATTCTTTTATTGCGACATAATGTATAAATATGTGTGTATGAACTACCGTAATGGAACATATATACATTGTATGGCAGGATAGGATATATTTTAAATGGATTAAAAAAAACTTTAATTCTCATGCAATAAAATCTTTACAAATCTACATATAAAAATTTTCAAACTGTTTAATTTTTTTTTTACCAACAAAAATTGCCTTCAAATTATTGTTGGTCTTTCTTTATATATGTACTTTCCTGTGTTAATTGAGACAAAGAGTCATGTACTAATTAATTGTAATACTTCGGAAATATCAATTCCACTATCAGAAAAGATTTGCTTGAAAATTTCATTTTATTATATATGAAAGTGCTTTCAGTTGGTTTATTGGATATTAGAACCAGAAGTCTCTCAAAGATTGTAGCTCTACTGGTTTGAACTTTTTTGCATGGATATTTCCTTTTTTTTTTCTTTCTTTTTTTTGAAAATTATACATACACAGAATTTTTTTTTAAATGAACATTCTTGATGTTTGACAAATATGTCAAACTAGATCAAAACTTTCCAAGGAGTATAATTTTGAAATAATTTACATTATGACAGTTACCTCTTTTTTGAGTAACCATAACAACCATGTCAACAAATTTTACTGAAATCTGAGAGATCAATTAAGAGAGAGAGTTTCATATATTTTTTCTCCATGTAAAGAGAAAAGCATTCAGAAAATCAAAAGTGGATTGGCTTTAAAAAATTGATCAATACATTCAATTCATATTTAAGCATCTCCTGTGAAATGTAATGTACTTTGCTATACATGTATCATCTATTAAAAACAGCAAGTCCAAAATAAAAGAGTGACAATATGGAACTAAATACATGTATTAGCAATGAAATCTTATGCCACATGAAAATACTCTGTAAGGACTGCTTACAGAAGTTAATTAATCTATACGATGGTGTCATATTTGTCATATTTTTTGATCGTGCTGTCCACATTTCTGGAATTAATTAATTTTTCATGGAAATAGCATTATTCTTGTGTAACTTGATGGAAGATGATGAACTAGGCCAGAATTTCAACCCAGACTCCTTACTTCATGACCAGCTACTATAGTTCTAGAAACAAAATTATTTTGCCATGAACTGCACATAGCTCACCAAATATTTGTGACACCCATTTTCCCATGATAGTAATCTGAATTTATAAGCAAGACAGAATTTTTGTAAATTTTGGTTGTTGTGGAACATAATATTTAATAATTACATAAATAATTATTTGCCAGATTGAAATTTCCTGGAGCAGAAATTATGCAAAAAATCAATTAGTTTTTGTGATTAAAAAATGATTTTCAAGCGGTATATACATTCAAGGACAAATGATCCTGCCCAACCTATGACCATGCACTTATTTTAAAAAGTCCTTGACAGCAGTGTTTATTATATATATATACACAGGAAAACTAATTTTAAATTGTCTTTTTCAGTTTTTAAAGTACAATTTAATTGTCTATCCATGAGTTTTAAAAACAGTTAGTACAACTCTTCCTTGCCCTTGAATCCTTTCATACTTTGACAGTCCACCACTTACGAATCACATTTTGTTCAGCATTCTTCAAATTAAATAATTTGCTTTTTATTGATAACTACATATTCCTTGCAGCACTATAATCTAAATCCTTTGATCTTTAATATTCCAATCAAAAATAATCTGTAAATTCATTTGAACTCGAAACAAGGTTTTCAAAATTTAAACACAAAGAAAAACATTTGAAATTTCTCTTTGAATGAAATCATTAATACACCACCTGAAAACTATCATGTGATTTATTTCTTTTAAAACTTTCCAATTACATTGAATTTAAATCCTGATAGTTTTCAAACTGTGGCCTTTATCAATTCATCAACGCACTAATACAGATTAAAGTGCATCTACTGAATATCACAACAAACTGACAATATGTCTCCTTCAATAAAACTTTGTGGGTTTTTTGTTTGTTTGTTTTTTTAAATGTTTTATATTCAACTGATTCTGAAAAAAGTTCCTATACTAGTAAAATTCTGAACTGAGTTTTAGCATTTTATCATGTATATAAATGTATATATATATATATATATATATATATATATATATATATATATATATATATATATATATATATATATATATATATATATATATATAGAAATCTAAAAGTTCCAATTAATGCAAGTATCATTTGAAAGATGTGAAATTTAAAATAAATGCTGTATAAAATTATATTTTTGTGAAGCAATTGGTTCCGTTTTGGATTAAGAAAACAATTGCCCAAGCATAGAAGGAATACTAAATAGCTATATATGATATAGTCTACATGAAATGACATTGAATTAAAAATAGCTACACTACTAGTGGGGAAAAAAGTCCTTAAAATGCACTTATTACCACCAATATAGAAATGACATAACAATGTTTAACCTTTGTGTAAAACATTTTTGATATCATTAATAATTCATTAAAGAATTTTCGAAGCATTTTAAACAGGAACTATATTGTTAAAAGATCTATTATAGCTCACTTTTGACAGCTTTGAACTTATCCATTTTGTAAAGGATCTATTAAAGCTCACTTTTGACAGCTGTGAATTTATCCATTTTGTAAAGGATCTTTTCTGTATGTCTTCCCTTTCATCTACAAAAATAAAAGTTTTAATAATTAATCTACAGAAAAAAGTCACACTGCTTAATACTAGTTATGAGTTGCCTATTATAAATTAATTTTAAGAATCAATTTATTCAAGTACAAAAATCTCTTTTTATAATATTGAATTTGTGTGTACTTCAATGAAATTCATTTTGTCTACAGATAATGAAAATTTCATAAACTTGCCAATGCCAACCCAGAAACAAATATCTTTTTAGTTGACAAGATTGCAATATGGTGCCCAAAGATGAAACAGCTTTAAATCAATGTTAATAATCTTTGCTTATTATAAAAATAATAATAATTTTGTTGGGAGAAGGCTCAAATAGGCTTAGCCTGTTGTCCATTGCAACCCATTCAAAGTATTTTATGTAATTATATTGAATAAAATAAAGCATAAACCATATAAAACCAAGCACCACCACCCACTCTACCCCACCCTCCCCCACATAACAAAACTTAATTCTTCAAATTTTACATTGTACAGTTGAACTTCGGTATCTCGAACACTGATATCTCGAATACCATGGATATGTCGAAGTAATTTGGAAGTCCCAAACACTTATTCTTTAAGTATTTTACCCTCGATATCTCAAATACTCAGATATCTCAAACTTTTTGCTGGGTCCCACTGAGTTTGAGATAACGAGGTTTGACAGTATATGATTTCAAGAAGCAGTCTAGGATTTTTAGAAGTATTTTTAAAGTGCATTTTATTTATTTGGAGAATTTAGTAGAAGTAAAAAAAACTTTCAAATCTTTTTATCTCTGAAAATCATCAACATATGAATTTCAAAGTACATATTTAGAAATGCAACATTAAATAATTCTTTATTTTTTTCATCTCGTCTTACAGAAAGTTTAACCTGATATCAATAGAAATGTAAATATCTAAAGATATCACGTTCACATTTAGTGAATTTAGTGATGAATATCTGGAACTAAATAGGTATGCAATGCATGTGAAATATTTGTTTAACTCATCTGATACAATGTAAATATATGTACAAAATGCAATATTTACCCAAGAATAGTTAAACTTGTTTTTACATAGCCAATTTTTTTTTCAGTATATTTTTAAGTGATCGCCTGAAAGAATACCAAAATCACACTCCCAAAACATATTTATGTTTCTTTGGTCACGAGGAATAAACATATAGGTCAAGTATCCATTTTAAGTAGGTGTCATCTTTGACACACAAACACGCTGCATTGCTGGGATACTTGCAAAAGTTTGTCACAGTCCTGGTACATGCAGTTATCTGTAATGAGTTTGTCACAAAGTAACCATTACATCTGTTTTACTTTCAAACATGGATTCCGATTCTTTTGAAATATTGACTTTATTGAATGCATTTTTTGTCATTTTTTAAAATTAATCATTTGTTAGTCATGAAACAGCTTGTTTTCTGAAAGGATGATTTAACTGCATGACAATCATTGTACAATTACAATTACAATTGTGCAATTATTGTACAAAGGTTCTGATGAACATGCTTCCATTCTATACAATGGTCAAGTGGTACCGAAATTAAAAATGATATCATATGAACTTAATAATTTGCAATTGCATATGGGCAAAAGAGAGGAAATCTAAAATGTGCCGTACTATCATTGCATGATGTCAAGAATTAAGCTGGAAAGAAGCATGCTTAAAGCTCTACATTAAGAAATAAACTTTACATTATATAATTTTTTTTTCAGAGTATATTTCCTAATAAGGAAAGGATGGAATCACCTAGCCTCTGTACTTTAAGCCTTTAGTTAAATCATGAATGGAAAGAAAAAACCAAATTCACAACTTAAACTAGAACCTGATGAAAGGGGATACTTTAATAACAGTGTGGCCAAAAAGACATCTTTTTAAAAGTTAAATTTTATCACTTAACTGTCAAATTCAGACTCTCAGCATGATCATTAAGATTTCTGCATTGCCCCAATCTGGCGTGAATCATCTAGACTTTACAGATCTGCCAAAGCTATAATTTACCCCAATCACAGAAAATATGAGAACTTCCCGTTCAAAACCCATTTATAAACTCTAAACTAAAATTGACACCATAAATTCTTATTCTAAATTATAAACAGGCAACAACTGGCAACATTTGTGGCAAACTGATGACAATCACTCAGTTTTATTTTTCCTTATCTGCTTCTGAATGATCTTCAGCATTCGATCATGTTAATTTCATGGCAAATTGCCTCCGAAATTGGCAGACGTGTTTTCATTCATAATGTGTCTTCTATGTCTGTTTATAGAATGTTATCATGGAATTTGAACATTAAGAAATGAAACCCAAATAAGCCATGGGCTATGTCAATAAGTAACCACAGATCTTTGATATAACAGTCTCCTATTTAAATGTATCACTGTTTGTCATGTTAATGTGACAATGATAATTTACACAGTAAGGATCACTCAAATATCAAGAAATTCATTAGCATTGGCTTATTAAACCTATGTTTATATAGTTATAGACAACAAAATGCAAATCAAGTTTCAGACATTTTCAAATCCTTGATGAAAATAGTTTCAGGTAAAATTGTTTTAAATGTTATCATGGAATGTTATCATTGTCAAAAAAAAGTTTGCATTATAACAGATTGCCTGACTTTCAAACCTCAATCCTCACAAAGAAAAGTTGTTCATATTTTATTTTAGAAGCATTCACTATATCTATTCAGTTATAAACTAAAAACTTTGAAATTTTTTTTTTTATTTTTTTTTTTTTTTACTTTAGATTACAAATTGTAATTTAAAGACATATATCTATCTATGAATCAAAGGTCCAGAACTATCTTTATAGAAAAAAAAAATCTCTCCTTGGTAGGACATGAAATTTTGGAAGTGCCTTTATCAGTAGAAACTGACTAGTGTAAGTTTTTGTCAAAGTGAAATGTTTTACATGGCCTATTTTATCCCACCAACAATGGAATGGTTTGATAAACCCGTCATTGTAATCAGATCAACTTCCAAATATTGAGCTTGTATCCATCAAAAACCAAAGGGGGTCAGGAAAGATTAAACAACACTGGGTCCTAATTTGGGAGGAAATTGCATGTTAGGTGTTAATCCGGTGGCATTAATGTCAAATAAGTAAAAATTAATTTAAAGATTGTTTTCAAACATGAATAAACCCTAGGAATAAAGTTGCAATATCATGCACTTCAACTGCACTTCAAATGCACCTATTGAGAAGTTAATAACTTGTTTATGCGAAAAGCTTTACATGTGAAAGCAACACTGCAATTTTTGTACACTGTTATTCGATTTGGACAGACACTATCTTGAAGGTCACATATTTTGGGTGGATGCCTCTATTTTTTTTTTTTTTTTTTTACATTTATTATAAACCAATTCTAGGTCAACGACAATGTTGGTCAGACATACTTGAAAATGTGATTATAACAAATATCTTCAGATGAGAACTTTTCATTTTAGTGACCATCTAATGTTGGCATGACATTGGTGTCATCTAATCTAATGCAACACTGCAAATAAATGTTGCTAATAATTAAATCTTAAATATTATAAGAGAAAATGAAAGTGATATTTCTATAATTGCTAAAAATTAATTATGCTTAAGGTAATGCGCAGCTATAGCATAAAATCATTAAATTTTCCAGTGAATAAAATACACAATGTAACCTGTTAAATTATAATATACATACAATATTGCATTGTGAATGCATGTTCATATGTTAATTTATCTACTTCTTGACCATGCATGGGTATCCATGAGCAATTACAGAATTCTCTATTGGAATGTAGATTCTCCATATCCATATCTTTAAATAAATACAGATCATCTAGTTTATACATATGTATGCATTGAAAACACACCTGTAACCAGTCTCTGTTTGAAAAAAAATCTTATATGGGGGGGGGGGGGCAGAGTAAATTAATAATTAAAATGTATTGCTAATAACTCCCATGTCAGAAGCAAACAAAGTGTTCTTAGGTAAAATCTACTAACCCTTCACTGCCTCAACTTATTCTAAAGGAATGACAAATCACTTGATAAATAACATACCAAATGGCATTTACTTATTAATTGCAAACTTTCAAATAACAACTCTATCAAATGGCCTCCGATCGATTGGCAGTAATCAACAATATATCCTATTTGTTTCACCATCGTGTTTGGCCACAAAGACCAGAGAAAGCCTCAGATAAATAGGAGACTAATCCCCAATCTGGTGTCAATTTCAAGTTCATAGCGATCAATACTTCCCCTCCTGTCTGTGGACAGATTGAGGGGGTCCACAAGATATATATAGTGTAATAGTGTATCAGTACAGAAGGACCCTAATGTAAAATTTCAGCTTAGGACCAACCAAATAACATGGGTAGGGTGAAGTTTTGGGACTACTACACTAGGAAATATTTGTTTTCAATTGACATTAAAATCAGTAAAATTTTTCATTTGACAGCCCCTCCCCCTTTTGTTGTTGTATGTCCCCCTCCTCACTTCCACTTTTTGAAATAATAATGTTTCAAACCTGCAGCAAGTACTGAATTTAAAACCTTATTTAGATATCTAATAAACTGATAAGTATGCATACATGTTCTTAAACTTATAACTTCAAAAAAATCCCTATTAATTTTTCCCTATATCACTATGATCCCAAATTACCATAAATTTGCCTGTTCTGTCTATAGTCCAACATGACTTTGCAAAATATGCCCTTGATCAAAACCCCTGGTCATGACAAACCCCAAAATTGATGTAAATTGTATTCTTTCAATCCTTTTATAACAAGTGCATATCATGCAGCAAGGGTCAGATTAAAATTAAATTAACCCATCAACATTTTACTGCAAGACCGAACCACCATGCCATGTACATATACCCAATTGCAACCCAGCCCTGTTACATTTTACTCCTTTGACCATCTCAACAACTTGGATGACAAGCAAAATGTATTATGCTAAACTCCTATTGAAAGAAACCTATTTTTCCTTTCACTCTCCCTTTCCAAAACCCTGAAGATCACCCTACATAATTATGCTCAAGTACTTGATAATCCTATCAGACTCAGTTTTGTAAATCTTGCCGATTTTATTTACCAGCAGGACTATAAACACTTTTAAATTTTCTCCTCCTTTGAATAAAATCTATTGAGGTCGAGATAAAATATGCTGCCAACGAGTATGTGCTTTGCATTTAAAACTAGATGTGAGATACTCTAGAGACTAGAATTTACAACTTTCTTTGAGTAACTTATATGTATCGATCTCTATACTTCAGGCTGTGATCGATTTTTAACATTTCTTTCAGATTATTACTTTCAATGTTTTGATCTACATGTATATATTGTAGATAGTTCATCTGAATGTACTTAATTGAAGTGATCATATATTGAACACAAACCAAAGCGCCTCTTCACCTTAAAAGCAAGAACCAGTATGTTTAAATAGCACATCTCCCAAAATATTTAATGAAAAATTTCTGAAGACCTTAATTCACTCATTCACCTTTGAAAATAGTTCACTTGCCCATGCATTCATGAAATTATCCAACATTACTTATAATATGAAATTTTACTTCAGTGATATAAAATATGTACGAAACAAAAAAAATGGAATGAATATTTTATTAAGTGTGTGCCTTATACATCTTCTACAGCACAAACACACAAAAAAAAATTAGACCATGCAGACGCATCGGGTGGTCCATTTCGTACCACATTCATGCAGAAACTACCAATTCAGGGATTAAGTTCGAATTATATAACACATTACATAACAGTGTTGGCACTGAGCATTAACACCTTACTTGGAGTCCGGGGCTCAGTATCGTGCAGACAAACGTTTGAAGTTGTGTTTATTTACCTCAGGTATATCAAGCTCCCCCTTCATATTTACTTGGCTTTATTATCATTTGGCTGAGTGTAGTCCGTATTCCTCAGAAGTGAGAGGAAATTAGACCGCAACTTTATACACTGGTCAAACATGGCTAATTCAAAGTTGGAAAGCCAAAGCAAACAGGACAAAATGATTATCAATCCATAAAAGGGTTTGGCATACTTGTTTTTCGGTAGCAATAGAAAAACATGCACTGACTGAAGAATATAATTTATATATACAAATGTATCTTGAGATCACGTCTTTACAAATAAAAATGTTAGAAACCTTTTATTGCAAGAATTTCAAAATTTTGCATCTTTCATTTGAAATGTTTGGGGAAAAAACCCTAACATGGAGAAAAAAAAACTTAGTGCCATTTCACTAGAAGCAATCAAATTCTGATGTTACAGGTGTAAATTGCTTGCGTCCCTGAAGCTTGGATGAATAGAATGGGTTTCAAATGTTGTCATTTTCATCCAATTCTATTCTTTACAGCAATTTAATCAATATTTCCTTTCACAAGTTTGGGACCAATTTGTCACCATGCAGCTGCACATGGTTCTTTGTCAAACCAAGAAGTCTGGTAATTCTGACCAAGCAATGGTTAATGTACAGAAGAATCCAATTAAACGGAATGGGAGTTTTTCCTGTAAATCTGATCAGAATATGTATTTTCAATGCACGACATATTTTTTTTACAGTGCTAGCTATGTATTCAATACTGGTAAATACATCTGTACAGTAGTTCATTAATAAAAAAAAATGAAAAAAAATTTCACAGCTGAACATTCGGTATCTCGAACACTTATATCTCGAATACCATAGATATGTCAAAGTGATTTGGAAGTCCTGATGACATTATCTTTATGTATTCTTCCCTCGAAATCTCGAAATCTCAAAACATCTCGAACATTCTTCTTGGTCCCATTGAGTTTGAGATAACAAGGTTTGACTGTACATTGATGAAACTTTTCAGTATAGGCAGTAAAGTGGGTCAAAGATTGTTTCACTCTTTCTGGCTTCCTATCCATAACTGCATGTACTTTATCTTGAGATGTACATACAACTATATTGCATCATTGACTCATCTGTAGTATTCATGCTATTCTATTGGTCAAATCATCTCTCTCTCTCTCTCTCTCTCAGACTCTCTCTTCTGTTTTTCCTAGTTTACACTTTTACTCATACAACAAACTGTCAGAAAGTAGAAAATAACAGATGTCTATAAATCTGGCTCTACTATGATTAATTTGGTCCGAACCCCCCCCCCCCCCCCAACATTTTTCCAAGGTATAATGTCTACTATAGTGCATGTGTGTATACCAGACTTATTTTGGATCTCAGGTCATTTGGACATTAAATACATTAAAGTTCCTTAATTCAAGATATCATAACCAAGACTTAAACTATTAGGACAGAATTAGTGGGGATTAACTTAGTACCGTGCAGTAGAGTGCTTAACGCTCTTTCCTTTGTCAGCAAGTTTCTACACATTTACCTCCAAAAAGTTATTGAGTAAGTACTGCAAATCTCAAAGATTAATATGTCTGGCATGGAACATTCAGGGTATATCAAAATGTTTTACAAAGTTTAACTCCAGAAATGTGAAAATATACATAAATGCTTTGTGAAAATGTAGAACACAGATGGAATTCCTTGAGGTGCAGAGGTGAAGCATTCTGATGCTACAAAAATTTTCCTGGAGGCAATGATAGAACCAGTGATTATTTCCTCTGGGGTGTTTTCTGATGAAGATTTTGGAATAAGTGCTGGATTTACCAATAAAATACATGTTCCACAGCCATCTGACATTTTCCATTGTGCTGGAAATTCATTATTGCGACCAAGGTCTTTAACACAAATGAATGGACCTGGAATATTCACTCAAGAGTCACCTACATATAACGGTATGTACTCTCCAATTACCATTGATAGATCTCTCAGAAACCTCAAGGGCAACCTTGAAGACAGTGAAAATAGATGTTCCGTGCTCAAGCATAAGCTCAAAGAGGCTCAGAGCACACTAGATCTACAGAATGACAGACTCCATAGGATAGAACATGCATCTCGAGAAAACTCGCTACTGGTAGAAGACCTCAAGCAAAGAGAGAATGAGTACAAGAGGAGAATTGATTCTTTACAGTTATCTGAACAGGAGAAGGACAAACTCAAAACAGAAAACATGAAAATCCGACAAAAAATGCAAGAACGTGTCAACAAACTCGATGTTGCCTTACGCACTGCTCAAGCTCAGCACCAGGTTGCTGAAAATGATAATCAAAAACGCATTGTGTTGCTAGAACAATCCTCTCAAGCTTTGAACATCATTGAAGCTGAAAACATAGGTTTAAAACAGGACCTAAAAGACATACAGAAAGATTTGGCCATTGCTAGAGAGTCTGTCAACATTGCCAAGACTCAATCTGAGCAAACTGAGGAGGAAAACAGGGATTTGAGATGTAAAAACTCCAAAATCAAAGAAGAGAATGACGATTTGTCAAGAAAAATTTCAGAATTATCTGGTCAGTTACTAGAGCTTAGAAAAGTTACCCAGTCAATGAAGAAAGAAAATGAAAAGCTGGCAAATGCTTGGAAATCAGAAGCCGAGGGAAAACACAGACTTTCAAAACAAGTAGAAAAATTGGAAGAGAAGAAAACAGCCTTTAAATCTCAAGCTCTTGCAGCTTCATCAGAGAAAGATAGACTGTTCCATGACAAAATGGATCTAAACAATAAATACCAGCAACTTCTAATTGACAAAGAGGCTCTGACACAGATAAAAATTGCCCAAACTGATCAACTCAATGAGCAGCAAGCAGATATAGCTAAATTAAAGACAGTTTTGGAGAGAAGTGATGAGGAAAGAAGGAAAAAACAAGCAGAAGTTGCCGAACTTAAAGGACTTAATGATAATCTTGGTGCAGAACTGTCCGCTGTGAAAAAATTCAATGAAAAGTCATTAGACCAAATTACTTCCCTTGAAAAAGACAAAACAGAGCTTGAAAAACAGTGTGAAATAACAAATAAAGAATGTGACCGACTTAAAGTAGACATTGAAAAACTAAGCAGGCAGCTCCTAAGTGTTGGGTATTACTCCAGAATGGTTGCAGAAACAAAAAGTCAAGCCTTGAAAAAAGACAATCAAGAAATGGAGGGACTAATTTTGAAATTAAAGAATGACATTCGCAGTTATAAAGATGAAAATAATTTGTTGGTCAGTAAAATAGATGAACTATCAGTGAAGCTCAACAAAGCTGATGAAGATTTGAAACATGCTGCTTTGACAAGTCAGGAGGATCTGGAGACCTTGAAGACCACATGTGAGCGCTTGACCTCCTCCATTAGTCAGAAGGATTCTGAGATTCAAGTGCTTTCAGATAAGTGTTTGGAACTGGAAGATCTCACTGCAAAACTTCAATCTGAAAATCATGACCTGAAAGAAGACAACAGGGCCTTAGTAGAACACTATGAAGATGTGAAAAGATTAAAAGATGAGCACAAAAGATTCATTCAAGCAAATGCTGAAAATGAACAAGTCATTAAATTGCTTGAAACCCAAAATGATGTGCTAAGGCAAAGCTCTGAATCCCAACTAGCCAAACTACATGATGTAGAACTATTAGTTATCCGAGCTGAACAGCTTCACCATGATAATGAACACTTAATGGAGCGAGTGGCAGAACTGGAAAAGATTCGAGATAATTTGGTGACCCAAAAGGAAGAACTGCTTGCCAATACTGAGCTTATTTATAAGAATCCTCAAATAGAAGAGCTAAAAGACAAAGTAGATGAGCTGCAAAAAACAAATAAACAACTAAGGGATGTGAATGACTCAGTCAATGAAAAGTGTGAAACCTTGGAACATATTAATATGGAACTCAAAGAAGCAGTAGGGGGTGATGGAACTGTTGTACCAAAAACTGAACTTTTCCGAGTTCAAGAAGAAAGATGTCGTTTAGAGGATGATATTATCCAAGTTCAACACAAATGTGAAGCTTTGAGAGAAGAACATGAACAATACTTGAAAGAGTATGGACCTGAAGGGGAAGAGACCCTGAGATGGCAGCAAAAAGTGAAAACTTTAGAGAGGGAGAAAGAAGGTCTTGAAAAACAAGTAGCCCTCATCAATGGCCAACTTTTGTTGGTTGAAGGTAGCAAAAAGAGACTGGATGAAGTTGTTGAAGACCTGCAGCATGAGATAGTACACCTAAGGAAAGAGTTAGAGGAAGCTGAGAAACAAGAGGCTAATAGAATATTCCAAGGCAGAGTTAGTGGAGACGTATCTGAACTAGAGTCAGAATTAGAAGTTCTCCGAGGTGAACTCAGCCAGAGTAAAAAGGACAAATCCAAGACTGAGCAGATGATTCGGTCTCTTAAGGAAGAACTGGAAGAGGAGAGGACTAAGAAGCCTGCACAGTTCAAAGAATCCCTGGATGATGTTGGCTCTGAACTGACCTCCATGAGAGGAGAGCTCCACAAACTGGTTGGAGAAATTGAAAGGAAGGAGCAGACAATCGTCACACTTGAAAATCAGCTTCGTCAATCTAAAGAAAAGATTGAAGACAAAGATAAAGTAGTGAGAGAACTGAAAGCAGTGATGGACAGAAATTCTCTGGCAATGCATAGCCTTGAATATACAAAACCAAAGACTGAGGAAACAAGAATCTCTGATCCAGTGTCAAGATCCAAAAGTTTGACAGAACGAGGAGCTGGAGATAGACTGCAGTCACTCATAGCGAGATACAAAGACTATGGTGAAGCAGGGACACAAGCTGAACGGAGAATCAAACCCCTTTCTCTCTCTGGCAACAACACCAAGAAAGGTCTCGTAACACGTGATAAAAAATGAAATGTTTTGAGCATATATATAAAAACATAAAAGATTTTCTAATTTCCATTAAGGATTATGTGATAGTGAAGTGTGTGCAAGTGTGTGTGTTTAATTGGAAAACTGTGTTTTGGAGCTTAAATTAAATTCAATATTTATTATATTATTTTTCTCAAGATATTATGAAGTATAGTTTGGCAGCATTAAGCTCGAGGAAATCTCATGCTAGAGAAAGTAAGCATCATTGCCAGTGTGTGCATATCAATACATTTGTACACATGACATGCAACAGATCAGACAAGGATTCAAACCACTGAACTCTAGATAGGTACAGCTACCCAATCAATTATAAGCTATCTTGGTCATTGGTAAAAAGCCATTCTGACAATCAAATTCCTTACTTCTTAAATGCCACCCCCCTCCCTCCCCCAAGACACTATTAACCATCCAAGCTTTCCCTAGGCCTGACAGGGATTTTACCTGTCAATTTCAGGGTACCGTCATGACACCAAATGTAATTGGATGAAAATGCATATGCACCAGATGTGGATTTGAATCTGGACCCTCTGAACTATGGTATATATAGCCAGCTGGTGCTCTACCAACTGAGCTATCTTAGCACTGGCAATCGAACCTGCCTGACTCCTTAAATGACTGCCTCTGGGTCACAATAATAAGTAATGTTAGTACATATTGTAAATTACGTATTCATGTTTTAATCATAAACACTTCAAAAGGGCAGTGGAGGAAACAAGTTATTAAGATAAAACTTATTACAATAAGACCCCCACCCACACAACTTCAGTAGAATTTATGACATGGGTGAATTTAATTCAATATCCTAATACATACTGATAAAAAGCTGGATCTATCTGATATTGACCCTCTTCACGATAAAGTCATTTAAGCATACAGTTAACATTACATAAGAATAGAATGCCAAGAAGTTATAGTCTTTTTATCAAGGATTAAACTTTGAACATATTATAATCCCCCATTGTCCCCCACCCCAACTCTAGCTTTCATTGCAATATGAGGAAATTGGTTTGATAAATAAATTTGTGGACAGTGGTCAAAGTGTCATATTGCATTAAAATTAAGAGGTACTCAGTTCTTATCAGTGTTTATATATGTACTAGCTTTCATCAGTCAGACTGGTCCTTATATATAGCCTTCATAGATAAGGATTTTTTTGTCATCAGAATTTCAGTGCATATTTGTATGAATTAAAGCCAATTTTGTCTGATTGCTTTGAAGTAGCACTAAATTGATGAATGTGAAAATCTTTAATAATTTAAATCAACATTTTCCTTACACAATTTACTCATATAAATTAAAACTTTCCTTTCGATTTTGTTAAGTACATATGAAATTTACGAAGTACACTCATGCAATTGTTATACAGTGGAGAACAAACATTTTTTCTTGCTATTAAATATAAATGCAAAAGTTGGTATACACACAAACACACATACAGTATTTTATAGACTTCAAATAGAAGATCAATTGAATGATCAACATAGATGATGCTTTCTATTGTACCCTGTAAGACATGCTCTGTTTTTGTTCTTGTTTTAATCAGATCTTAAACTTTTTTCTGACCTCTTTTTTTTTCATTTTTTCTTCCCAAGCAAAACTGTTAGTAAAACTTCTTCCTCGCCAACCTACAAAGCTACAAGTCATGTCTGCTTCAGTTGCGGAAGCTTTAATTATCAGGACTGAAACTTAAAAGTATTTTTCCAAAAAAAAAAGAAAAAAAAAAGAAAAAAAAAAGACAAAATTTGTTTTGTTAAAATCAAAGTCTATGCAGGCTTCTGATGCTATTAATTCTTCTGTAAAAGAATTTTGCATTCCTTGCATTTGTTCTTGAAAGAAATACTGATCGAACCACATCAATGTTTGCATTTTTTGACACTGCCTGAAAAATCAACATCAGAGAAGAATGGGTGAATTGAAATTGTCTGCTCTACGATACCTATTTTCAGCATTTAACACCTATGTGGTGAAATGTTGGGAGGTGTTTCATCCCCCTGGGACTCAGATCTCCAATTGTTCAAGATTTTTTAACACCAAGTATGATCTTTATGAATTATTTAATATGGATATTGTGCATGCATCTGTTGAAAACTCAGGAAATTTAAAGGACATATAAAAAGCCCCCTATGTTATAACTGGTCTTGTCAACATGTGAATTTGTACTTTTGAAGAATTACTTTTCTTTTTATTCTGGCCCATGCAATAAAATTATGTGTGTCAATATATCCCACCTACCTTTGAATTTTAAATATTTGAGAGTTGTAGCATTGGTAGCACTGAAATTGACATCCATTATGTCAGCTTTCAATAAAACTGGCAACTTTTATAATCCTTGAAGCTTTCCCAGCAAATTATCAACCCAGAGAAAACATAAATGTAATTTATAATCACAAGGCAAAATTATTCCACAGGGCAATAATTTGTCATCCTCAGGATTTTAACATAATAATCTCTCTCCTCTGAGAAACTGCGCTGATTATAATTCCAACATAATTCTTTTTTTTTTTTGGGTCTGACTTAAAAAATTCTCCAAGCTTTTCCCCCCTTTTTGGTCATTTAAAAATCATCCTTAGAATAACAGGAAACTGGTCCACACATAATGTTGTATCAAGACTTTGTGTCACCTCTTTCACTGTGTGTACGCAAAGTAAACAACACATTCTACACCAAAAAAGAGGGAACTTTAAATGTACACCATTGCCTCTTCAAAATATTCCAGGTAGCACAGGGCTGGACGAAATTCCATAAAAGCTTAATGGCATTAATTCTTTGTCACACCTCCCATAGAGTGACCCTCCCCTAGACAAAGGAGGTATCTCGTGATATAAAGCCCGCCAAAAAAAATTAACGCAACTTCAAAACATCATAGCAGCCAAGTACATGTATGTTCCATATATAGAATACTGTATGAAGAAAGGCTTCAATGGTTCATATAAGACATTATAGTGTGTGATATCAAAAGCAATTCTCCACACACTATCACAAATGGCCCATAATCCCTGATCAAACATTTAGGATATTTGATTGAACGTTCAGATCAACATGATTACAATATGTAGCACAAGTGAAAAAATTAAACATTTATCACTTTCCTTCCAAAAAAGAACAAAAATATTTCCCTCTAAAAGAAAATGCAATTATATACTAAGGGCAAAAAGTCCTGCTCGCATCAGCTTTTGTACTAGGTAAATTGATCCAAGATTGACACAAGCTACTTTTCAAACAATAACAAGATACTATTTCCCTGCGATATAATATGATACGTATGAGGGACCATCTCCACATTTCTAATCTTAGCTTTTTCAATGAAATATTGATCAGCAAGAGACATCAGATTGCCTATAGGAGATTCATATTAAGAGCTAAATATCAATTTTCTCCTTTTTTTTCTCAAAACCAACAAATAAAAAATCAGGGAAATACAAACAATTGTCGCTTGCTAATTATAAAACAAAGAATAAATCTCACTTCATTCTCAATTCATAGTCATAACTACCTATTGATTGAATACATTACTATTGGGCATAAACTCTTCTTTCTCCTTTTTAGATGGTCCCTACATTGGGGGGGAACAACAGAGGTCAAAAAGTCAAGTTTTTATAATGGATGATTATAATAACTCATAAATTTTATCTAAAATAAAGACATTGTGTCTATGACAACAGCCTACAAATATAAACACACTCAAAGATGCTATTAAAAAAAGATGTAATGAATGCAGTACGGATTATAATATTTGTTACAGATGGTGTAAATTAATTAAATAGTACTCATTACATCTATTTATATATATAAAGTATATTACAATTTATAATTGTAAGTATTTTTTTTTGGGGGGGGGGGGGGAATTACACATTTCTTAATTTATTCAAATGTGTTTCTATAATACAGTTTTAAATTTAAATTTAAATTCAAAACTGAGTTGATTTTTATGATTTCTTTAGAAAAAGCAGGAAATCAAAAAAATAAATATTTGTTTGTAAAAACAGGAAATAAAAAATAATAATAATACTCTAAACCCTCCCATCAGGAGGAAAGAATTAGGTCTGAGTTTTAAAATCTTAATTTCTGCAGAGTCATCTTTAAGTTGAAACTCCAAAAATAAATTCAGATTTAACTCATGCATACAAGAATTCAGATTGAATGAAAACACAGCTTGGAAAATACAAACATTAAATAAACATCATGATTTTAAATACAACATTATTCCAATACTTGAATGAAACTTTTCCATCTGTTATTGTGCAATACATTCAAGATATCTGATATCTCACAAATGCATAATTTACATTTTAATTTTCTATACACAGTGAGCCAGTTTTGCACCAGTGACTTTAATCTGAATGGGATTCTTTTTCCAGAACTTATGAAAATTAAGTTTACACTTGAGTGATTATTGAATGTCTTTTTTGATCCATCTGACACCACACATTTAAGGTTAAAGGAATATGCTTTTAAGGAAGCTCTAAACACTGCACACCAAAGAGTTCTTATATATAGTTAGAGTGATCTGCCCTTAGGAGTAAGGTAGAATAATTGGGAATCTGCAGTTAATGACATAATTTAAAATAAATTAAGGGATTCTAACATTCAGACCAAGAGTAAATATCTGAATACATTGTTTTCATTAATTTTCCCAAAGTAAGTAAACAACAACAATTTATGTTCACAAAGAGTTCATTGTCTTTAAATAATTTTCCTGGAGAAAGAAGGCAGATACCCCATGTTGAAAATGAACTACACCTTTATTACTTACCCTATATGTAATATACCTTTCTCCAAGTCTCAAAAGCATTAATTTCATTAGTGTTTAGAGCTTCCTTAATAAACCTCACTCTGCCTAAATATACATATACCATGCAAATGCATTAAATGCCATATTTTTTAATGAATGTTTTTTCTAAGAAGGAAATGACTCCTCCTCCATCATTACTTTTATTTTAATTAAGATCAATATCAATTTCCCTCGAGAACTCCCAGCTAGTACTTGAAGTACACTTAATTTACAAAATATACGTGTACAGTTGTACATGTAAATATAACTAGGTTTTGCCACTTGTATAAATGAAAGAATTAAAAGGTGTCTAATTTCTAACAATTACATGGAAGCTGAGATTTTATATCCTGTTTATAGAGATATTTAAGTACACACGTACTGCAAATCAGGAATTTGAATGATGTTAAGAATTATGAAAAGATGCCCTACATAATTTTACAAAAATGACAGCAGACACTGCTGCTAAAGTCTTTGACTATAACTTTAAAAAAAATCCTTGGATAATTTGGGGGGGGGGGGGGGGGTGATGCAAATATTTGCATAAATGTGCAAAAACTTTAAATGATATGTGGTATTTTGAACTGTACATGTATACTGTACATTCATTAGCATTACAGTTTTTTTTTTGTTGGTTGAATGATTTCAGCACACACTGAAAATTAATCAAACAAACCCTGGCCATCTTTCATGCGTTGCTTGACATCATCAGCATTAGCTGCCATTGCAGAGCTCGTCATGGTCCTAGCTACTGTCCATCAAAGTCACAGTCTATATACCTGCATTCCTAAAATAAAACAAACTGTACTTAACTTCTCATCTGAATGTAAGCAATTACATGTGCTGTTTTACATGAAGGATTCAACATTCCAAGTTAATTTTATCCAATTTAATCAAGTTACAGAGAAAAGTAAAAATGTTTAATCTGCATCTCAATGAATTGGCTATAATGCTGACAGGGGAAGGAAGGTAATAAAGAGAGATGGTGGAAGAGGGGGGAGGGGTAGCTCCACCCTCCAACACAAAAAATAATACACTGCACTCTTCATCTTTCAAAAAAATCTTTTCTGACATATTTTAGATCAGTTATACAGGGCCATCACCAGGGTTTCCTGAAAGGAGGATGCCGTGTAGGGAATGGGAGGGTATATGTGTCCCCTCCCCTAGGCAAGTTTTTCCCCCCTTAAAATTGGGTAAACTTACTATTTTGATGGGTTCTTCTGCATTCTGGAAATAATTTTCTTCAAATTAATGGTAAATAAACAGAATCTAGTCTCTTTACTTTAAACAGATGAATAAAATGATATTTTACTGATTGAAGTGCTTTTAAACAGTTTTTATAAAAGGGGTACGTGCGACCGCACCCTCCACCCTTCCATTGGCATTGACTTATCAAATAACTTTATAATGAATAGGCCTAATTCTGTAGATTCCTTGAAAATTCCAGCTCGATCCTATATGTGTAAAGGAAGAGGATAGCCAATATCAGAAGCATGCCGCAAATTTCAGGCTCTGCAGCAATTATTCCAAGCTTCTCTCCGACACCGATTTTAGCAAGTAGGGGACACTTTCAAAATGAGTTATCTATGAACTTCGCTGAAGTAAAACCTGCTTCTAAAGTAGGGAGCTAATTTACGTTTAATCAATTAAATATGATAGAGGATCAAATTAAAGTTGCTATTTAAATTAATTCTGTCGTGTGTATCAGGTAATTGTTAAAGTCATTTAAACTGTTACCATCTGGGATCACCTTACAGTTGTTGGCCTATCGTCTTTATATCTTGTCATAAATAGCGCGTGTATGTTTTGTGGGTCGTAAACTATTTCAAAATAACAAACATGTATTTATATGTTTAGAATATGATTATACAAAAGTGAAAATATCTATATATAATCTTCATTTTAAAAAGTTTATATTACCTACCTGTAGATATAGTTACAAGTGTACATATAGGCCTACTTGTACATGTTCACTTACCGGTGTAAATTACACTTGTTTTATATACATTAACTGACAGCCAGTGAATTCCAAATATTATCGGTCTGGACCACAAACAGATGTGCAAAACCTTCTTCAAATATTATTTAAAAGTAAAAATATCTAATTCATATATTTGCCTACCTGTGTTTGAAGGTGCAACATGAACTTCAAGCACCACCGTCTGGAATTTGTTTTTATAATTAACGCAAATCCTATTAATTACAACTCTGTATCCGTTGTTAAAAAGAACACATCCAGATGAATAAAGAAAAACCCGTATATCATCCCTGTATAAGGTATATTATTAACTTATCCAGCTGTTCGCCACCAGAAGCACAAAATGACAGCACACAAGGTGATATATTAATTCACTTTCAAAATGGGGAGAAACACAGGTGAATATTATTATTTAATTTCCGATTTGGCCGCAGAGTTCAAGAGGATAATGATTTGTGTCACCCCCTTAACCATCACACATACCTCTGACGACCCGGCGTGTACCGGTGTTGCTCGGCGAAATCAAAATTTCCCAGCACTTTAAAATGCAAAAATATACAAATCTCACGGTGCTTAAATCCAAAAAGAAAATAAATATGTATATATCTACGGTCATACACTGCGGTTACTTAAATTAAAATATCTTCAACATGTTCAAGTCCACAAAAGCGTGCCCTCAAATAACAACTGTGCGTTCCACAATACACAAGGTTACCCCCTTATTTTTCAAGCTGTGTCCCTAAAAAGTGAAAGGAGTTTCAAGTAGACGGTATTGTTTACTAATGCGTTAGCATGAATGACTGTCTTCGTTGAGGTACGATATGCCTGGGGAAATTTAGAAAATGTCTTGTCCTATTCGTGTCTTAATAGCTAATCAACGGAGCTTTTTTTCTTGGCGGGAGACCTTCCCGCACGCGAACATGGGTGTTGCTTTTTACCGCGGGGCAGAGATTGTAACATGTTAACATTAATTATTTTTTTTTATCTACAAATATGTTTGCTGTCGAGAGTAGAATCCTATGAAAATGAGAGTACGATGTAAAATAGATGTATATCATTTTAACTTAAATTGTTAAATGTCACATCTACATGTACATGCAATTTACTGAGTCGAAAAAATGTTTATAATACGCACGAATTGTGCATTCAAACATAATTGCTATCGACTTTTGGATGAATGGGCCCATCAGATGAATATATTTTTTGACCACTGACTTACTGGATGCAAATATACTAGTATATATTATATTTTTAAATAATTCACAATTAATGTGGGTTCAAAGATTTTGTCACTTAAAAACAAACAGGTCCAATATACATGTACAAGCTTTCTGGTTATGGATCCGGGTTGAAAAATATAGACTATAGTTTCTCCGGAAATAGTTGAGAAAAAAATCCTCCAGTTTTAGTCTGATGTTGCTGTTTTCTTTACATTTAAAGAAAAAAAAAATACATTCATTATAGATTTTTAGCATTATTTTAATTACCATTAAAATTTTGAGAGAATGTCTGTATAAATATGCTCGAAACTTTATGAATAGAAATCCTTTTTGCTCATATATACAATCTGAACATATGAAAATTTTGAAGAATTTCAAAAATACCCGAAAGGGATAAAGGGATAATATGTGTCAACGATATCCTTTACCCAAAAGAAATAGTAACCCTTAACCACCCCCCCCCTTCATCTCTTCCACCTTTCTTAGGGACTTTGGTGAAGAAATATTGATTCAGAGAAAAGACAAGTTGCATAACGTTTAAATATTTTATACAATTAATTCTATTTGCAGTAATATGTCTATATATGCAACAAATCAAACGTGTATCTTTGTCAATAAAACTACTGAATGACGATAGTTTGCTGTGCTGCAAGAACACTGCAAACACTAGCAAATATTATTTTTTCTGTTGTCCTTATATTTGACACAACCTTCTGCTGCTGTTGTTTTAGTCTTTGTTGTTGATTTTTGCTGTTCATACCTCTCTCTGTTGTTCATACCTCTCTCTGCTGTTCATACCTCTCTCTGCTGTCCATACCTCTCTCTGTTGTTCATACCTCTCTCTGCTGTCCAAACTTCTCTGCTGTCCATACCTCTCTCTGCTGTCCATACCTCTCTCTGTTGTTCATACCTCTCTCTGCTGTTCATACCTCTCTCTGCTGTTCATACCTCTCTCTGTTGTCTATACCTCTCTCTGTTGTTCATACTTCTTACTGTTGTCCATACCTCTCTCTGCTGTTCATACCTCTCTCTGCTGTTCATACCTCTCAATGCTGTCCATACCTCTCTCTGTTGTTCATACCTCTTACTGTTGTTCATACCTCTCTCTGCTGTTCATACCTCTCTCTGTTGTTGTTCATACTTCACTACCCTTACCACACTCTGCTGTCCATATCTCTTTCTGCTGTTCATATCTCTCACTGCTGTCCATACCCCTCTCTGCTGTCCATACCTCTCTCTGCTGTCCATACCTCTCACTGCTGTCCATACCTCTCACTGCTGTCCATACCTCTCACTGCTGTCCAGACCTCACTGCTGTCTATACCTCTCTCTGCTGTCCATACCTCTCACTGCTGTTCAAACCTCTCACTGCTGTCAATACCTCACACTGCTGTCTATATCTCTTACTGCTGTCCATACCTCTTACTGCTGTCCATACCTCGAGCTCTCACTGCCGTCCATACCTCTCTCTGCTGTCCATATCTCTCACTACTGTCTATATCTCTCACTGCTGTCCATACTTCTCACTGCTGTCCATACCTCTCTCTGCTGTCCATACCTCTCTCTGCTGTCTATATCTCTTACTGCTGTCTATATCTCTTACTGCTGTCCATACCTCTTACTGCTGTCCATACCTCTCACTGCTGTCTAAATCTCTTACTGCTGTCCATACCTCTCTCCGCTGTCCATACCTCTCTCTGCTGTTCATACCTCTCACTGCTGTCCATACCTCTCACTGCTGTCCATACCTCTCTCTGCTGTCCGTACCTCTCACTGCTGTCCATACCTCTCTCTGCTGTCCATACCTCTCTCTGCTGTCCATACCTCTCACTGCTGTCCATACCTCTCACTGCTGTCTATATCTCTTACTGCTGTCCATACCTCTCTCTGCTGTCCATACCTCTCTCTGCTGTCCATCCCTCTCTCTGCTGTCCCTACCTCTCACTGCTGTCTATATCTCTTACTGCTGTCCATATTTCTCACTGCTGTGCATACCTCTCACTGCTGTCCATACCTCTCTCTGCTGTCCATACCTCTCACTGCTGTCCATACCTCTCTCTGCTGTCCATACCTCTCTCTGCTGTCCATACCTCTCACTGCTGTCCATACCTCTCACTGCTGTCTATATCTCTTACTGCTGTCCATATCTCTCACTGCTGTCCATACCTCTCTCTGCTGTTCATACCTCTCACTGCTGTCCATACCTCTCACTGCTGTCAATACCTCTCTCTGCTGTCCGTACCTCTCACTGCTGTCCATACCTCTCACTGCTGTCCATACCTCTCACTGCTGTCTATATCTCTTATTGCTGTCCATATCTCTCACTGCTGTCCATACTTCTCACTGCTGTCCATACCTCTCTCTGCTGTCCATCCCTCTCTCTGCTGTCCATACCTCTCACTGCTGTCTATATCTCTTACTGCTGTCCATACCTCTCTCTGCGGTCCATACCTCTCACTGCTGTCTATATCTCTTACTGCTGTCCATACTTCTCACTGCTGTCCATAACTCTCACTGCTGTCCATACCTCTCACTG